AACCTGCTTTTTTAGGGTTCCTTATTATGACTTCTTTCTGTCAGTCCTTAAAACAAGGTAGGTTATTAGGGGTTAACCCTAAACCCTAAGCCCTAAACCCTTAAAGTACAGGTTAATTACTCCCCCTAAACCCTAAACCCTAAACCCTAAACCCTAAACCCCAGTAGGGGGAAACCTCCCACGGCTAGGACTCTGGCGAGGACCTGGGCCTAGTGAGGCTTCGGGCCCAGGTTCAGGACCAAAGCTCTCAAGGTTTAGGGTTTAGGGTTTAGGGTTTAGGGTTTAGGGTTCAGGGTTTAGGGTTTAGGGTTTAGGGTTTAGGGTAGGTAGGGTTATAACTAAGCTAACTCGATTTATAACCCCCCAATTCGGGGACTTATAACCTTACTTACTAAGTCCCATGGTCCTCCAAGTAAGCTGATTTTGAGGTCGGAATCATTAGTAAGAGCTATCCCGTCTTCTTGCTTATGGTCCCTATATGACACCTACCCCCAAAGCCGTATTCCAATGAACAATGCCCCGATCGTCGGCCCGAAGTTTCCGTGATCCCCTAATGTAACTAACGTCTTAGCAAGGTAAGTTTCCCAAAGGGTCTAAGTACTAATATGTTAGATACTTTGGGGCCCAAAATATCTACTAGAGGGGTACTTAGACCCTTTGGCTTTCGCTACAAGTAATCCTAAGGGTCCATGTACCCAGAATAGTACATACTTTGGCCCCAAAGTACCTAAGTAGGGACGACTTTAAGGCCAAAGTCTATACTATTTGGGCACATGGGAACAAGACCCCGAAATCCGAAATCCGCAACAAAAGGGGCCTTAGTAGTTAAAATAAGGTTTTGAGGGCCCTATATACTATAGTTCTAACACCCTAAACCCTAAACCCTAAACCCTAAACCCTAAATACTACAGGTAATTCTTTAGGCCCCTATATTAGACGAGGAACCTTGGAGTCTTGGAGAGGAGCCCTAAACTGGGTTTAGGGTTTAGGGTTTAGGATTTAGGGTTTAGGGCTTAGGGTTTAGGGTTTAGGGTTTAGGGTTTAGGGTCAGGACAGTCTGGACCACGGCATGGAGTCCTAGGTTTCCCAGTAGTACCCTTTTGCCCTGTTTTTCTCTTCGGGCTCGCTTAATAAAACCAAATAGTAGGAAAACTGCTACCCTTATTATTTAGGGGCTACTGGGGAACCTAGAGTCAGTCCTGCAGCGCAGGCGGCCACAGACGAAGCGAGAGTGCAAGAGCTTACGGCCGAAGCCATGCAGCTTGGGCCAAGAACACTCCAGGAGCGAGGAGGAATAATCGACATGGCAAATCTAAGGTAAAGGAAACTACAGGTGTGGAGTTTAGGGTTTATAGGTCTTCTATAAGGCTCCTATAATGTTCACTACCCACCTGAAAATGTCCTAGACTAAGAAGTGGGCTACAGAATTCATGCAAGAAGATGAGTGCTTACCAACTGGAGGGTGCAGGGTTCTCATGATGTCCGTACTGACGAGAATGCACAAGGTTTAGGGTTTAGGGTTTAGGGTATCAGAATCTGCTGCTGGCACAACCAATGATTCTTCGCATCACCACCACTCATTACTACTGCTGTTGCTGCTGCTGCTACTACTACTACTACGACGGCGGCGACGACCACTACGACTGCTACTACTACGACTACGACGACGACGACGACAACGACGATCACTGGCACTGCCACTATGTCGACTGCGACTACGACGACAACTATTGCAAGAAGTACTGCCACTATATTAGCGAGCAAAAGGAGCTGCCCCACCGAAACTGTTGGCACTCAGACCAAAAGCCGTGTGGTTTTGGCTTTATGGTTCTGGGCTGAGGGCTTGGGTTCAGGGTTTTGTGTTTTACGGTTGAGGGTACAATATGGTTTAAGGATTTTGGGGTTGAGTAATGTAGGCTAGTTTGCGTTTCGGATTTTGGGGTTTAGGGTCTAGGGTTGAAGGTGTAGGGCTTTGGGTTTACCGGGTTCATGGGGTTCAGGGTTTACAATTGGGATTTGGGGTTTTGGGCTTTGGGGTTTCAGTGCTTGAGCTTAGGTGTCAGAGCTGAAGGTTCGGGGCTTTGGGTTCATGACCCAGACCCGTGCAAGGACCCAAACCGTGAAGTCCGCGAAAAAGGCAGTAACGTAGTCCGTGTAGTTGTATACACTGGTGGGACTCCTTGATCGGCTTTTGGTTCCTGTCCTGTGTTTCCATGTTGTTGGGAAAAAGCTGCTACTGCACTCTGCAGATTGCTGTACTTGAGCCATCTACCCTACACCCTAAACCCCAAACCCTGAACCCTAAAACCCTAACCACAAAACCCCTAAACGCCTAAACCCTAAACCCTACAACCCTAAAGCCCTAAACCCCAAA